CTTGTGGATAAAATCGAAACTATGAAGTTTGTGTTTATGAAAATGAGAGTTATGAGGATTGTTTAGATGAAAATAGAGAGGAAATGAGAGGAAATGAAGTATTGTTTGTTTAGAAAGTGAAATAAGTGGTTGAAATTTCATAAACACAAGCTTAAAGAGCTCATCAATGGTGGTTTTGGGTGGTTGCAAATATTGATGATAATGGCATTATGGTAAATAAGGAGAAATGTTTAGGGTGTAATAGATTTTTTATAATTTTCGAAAATAAAATCAGATTTAAAAATAATGGCAATTTGGTAAATAGGTGAAAACATGAGGAGAGTTTAGGTTTTTTAAGAGTGAATAGTAATGACAAAAAAAAAGAGGTTGGTTTTGTGTTTGACTTGAAATTTTAGGTTGGTTTTGCAAAAACCCCAATATATTTTCCTATTATAAAACTTAAAATTAAGACATAAAAATATATTATTAATAATTAAATATAAATCATCAAAACAATTATTTGAAAACTGAAGTTGTTGATTTGTCAATTCCATGATCCTAAGTAATTTTGATCATTTATCATAATTTCTTTAATTTTGTTTATTATTGATTATATAATTTAAACTAATTTATATTAATAATATAATATTTTAAATAAATTAATTCTTAAGTATTATGCTTTATCTTGAAAATATATTTTTTATTATAAAAATTAAAATTAACATGTCAAAATCTATACTATTATTTAAGAAGTGAATGGATGTTTGCTGATTTATCATATTTTCCATGATTTTACGTAACTTGGATCATTTATCATAATTTCTATAATTTTTATATATAATTTTTCATATATTTAAAATAAATTTATATTAATAGTATAAGATTTTTACAAAATAATTAAATATAAATCAAGCAAAATAATTATAGAAATATATTCTTTTAAATATTTTTGATGTTTGAGTTCTATTATTTATAATTATTTGATGTTTGATTTTTACTTTTTGAAAACATAACTAAGAAGTTAATAAAACATCAACTAATAAATATTCATAAAAGAATTATGCCCGCGAGTTCTGGCAAAATACCTAGCAATATTATAAAGACTAAGAGAAACAATAATAAAAACACAACAGATTAAAGGTAAGTTAGAAAACCGGAGCGATCGTTACAGACTCTAAGAGATCTTCAATGAGAAAATATCAGTGGAGCAAGGCTTTGAGAGACACGAGGGAAAGAGCGATGATATTAGGGAGCAAGCCTTTTTGGGTCACGAGGGAATAGAGAAGTTTTGCGGATGTTATTGAGGGCACATAAGAGCATTACCACACGCTCCAGCCCCACTCCAAATCCACCATGAGGCGGTGCACCATACCTGTAAACATGCAGCCCCCTTGTCAACTCAACTCATGTGGATATGTAGTAGTAGATGGATCAGTTTGTGGTTACCTGAATGCATCGATGTATGTGGATATTGTCTTGACATCAATGCCGCATTCTCTTGCACGCTTCTCCAAGAGTTCTGGGTCATGGATACGTTGAGCTCCTGACATGATCTCCTCTCCTATAAGAAAGAAACCTCAAATTTAGTAATTATTAAATCAAGTGTACAAGTAACATAATTGGGTGACAAACTCGTACCTCTGATGAAGACATCGAATGAGTTGCTGTAGTTAGAATCGTCTTCACATGGCATCGTGTAGAACGGTCTGACAGCCGATGGATAGCGATGCAGCATGTAGAACTCTGTATTGTACTTTTCCAGAACAAGCTGGCCAAGTTTCTTCTCAGATTCTGTGTTTAAATCACCAAGAGGATCAACCTCCTCGCCAGCTTCCTGGTCAAGATGACCCAATTATTATTATTCATACTCTTAACTCATCAAGTTGAACTCCAAAAAAAAAAAAAAATCCAGTCATACCTTAAGCATTTGAATCCCTTCTGCAAAGGTTAGTCTCAATGTTTGCGGAAGAAACTACAAGTTTAGGGCACAAATCAATCAATTTTCAATACAAAAGAAACTTTTAAGTTTTTGTTTTCCTAAGAATCCAAACGATAGATACCTTCAAAGAGTGAAAAGGGTATTGCCTTCTGACAGATTCAAGTTCCTTTGGGCACCTTTCTTCTATTTTTGTGAAAATGAACGGAAACAAGTCCCCCACAAGATCCATTATCTGCACAAAACAGGAAGTAGAGTATTATTAGCTAGCACTAATGGAGAGATGAAATATTATTAATATTTAGCACAAAATCATGCACACACCTCAGAGTAGTGCATTCGTATCTCCATCTCCACATCAAGACCCACGAATTCACACAGGTGTCTATGAGTGAAAGAGTCTTCAGCTCTGAAAACAGGACCAACCTCAAAGACGCGTCGCATGTCGCCACATATGGCCATCTGCTTATAAAGCTGAGGAGACTGAGCCAGGCAAGCAGGCTGCCCTTTGTAGTCCAACCTAAATACAGAGGAACCTCCTTCACTAGTGCCAGCCATCAATTTCGGTGTGTGGATTTCAAGAAACCCCTTGGATAGTAAGAATTCTCTGAACGCCTACACAAACAATTAAACAATGATGATAGGAACATTAGGATATAACACATGTATAATGATGACAAATCCTATCCTAAATACTCCCCATGTATGTTGCATATCATCAAATCAGGGGAGGGAGGGGGGGGGGGGCTTACAATTTGGACATGGCACTGAATACGGAAGAGGGCTTGATTAGCCGGTGTTCTGAGGTCAAGAGGCCTATTATTCAAACGCGTGTCCTGAAGGACACGAGCAGCTGGTTTGCCATCCTGCAACAAAAAATCATGGAAACAAGAGCAGCTTCATCTATCTCTTATGAAAGATATAAAAGAGCACATTAGCAGCTCCAACATTATTCTACCTACCTTGACAGATTTTTCAATATCTGCTTCACTTCGAGCAGCATCCACCACAACAAGTGGTAAATTTAGCAAGGATCTGCTGAGGCAGTACATTTTTGTGACATGTATTTCAACCTGCAACATACATTATCGATGAGTTAATAATGTCACACTATTCGAATCAAGGAAAAGGAAACAAGCAACACCTGCTGAGAGGTTGCTGTGAGAGGCTTCTTAGGGAGAGAGACGAGACCGATAAGCTCAACAACGGATTCATGACTCAGCTGCTTGACAAAATTAAACATGCTTGTACCAACTCTGGCCTCCTCCACGACGCATTGAACCGTGAATCCACTTTCCCTCAAGATCACAAACGATATTTTGGCGACTAAGCGATGATAGTGCACTCGACCTCTGAGTGAAACCTCTGACCCCACAATCTCTTCAACCAATTTGATCACATTAGTCAACTCTTTTCCTTCAACAGCCTCTCTCCAGCTTCTACCTGCAGCCGACTTAGGAGTCACGTCACCGTAGTTGCTGGAAAACGATTCATCCTCCGGAAGAGAAGATGATGATGATGTGGCTTCTTCTCCTTCCTTTTTACGGTACAACATCTTCTTCAGTTTACCGGCTCTCTTCTTTGCTGCTTTCTTGCTCATCTTCTCTCCAGATTCCTCCAAAACCTCTGGTCCCACCATCTCTTCTCTAGTAAAATTCTGACAACTGTCGTTGGATGACGACATGATGCCTCCTTGACGACAAGATGACTTAAACGCCATCATCCTAGCCAGAATCCCAAATCAGCAGACAATTGCATTAGAAACCTATCAACTACCAAGGGAATCTCTAC